TGTCCTTCTTGGTTCTTATTCACATGGAATGCTTTATGGCTTTGAACAAATCCACGGAATTGCAGCGCTTACCTCCTCTCTATGCTGTGTTGGTGCAATTTCTGGTTTATCTTCACAAAATTCAGCTCGTATTGGTAATTCTCTTGGAATTATTGGTGTAACAGGTGCTGTATGCACAACTCTTGGACATTTGCATCCCGATCCTCAAACTCTTGTTCAAATGTGTGCTGCAATTTCTTCAGGTTCTTTAATTGGTGCGATCATTGCTGGAAGAATAAAAGTATTTTATCGAATTAATCTGACAATCTAAATTTTTTTGCGTAGGTAACAGATCTACCTCAACTCGTTGCACTCTTCCACAGTTTTGTTGGAATTGCTGCAACTTCTACATGTGTTGCTAATTATTTGACTGAATATTCTAGCTTTTTGGCTAATCCAGAAGGTGCGGCAGCTATCAAGACTTGTCTTTTCTTAGGAGCATATATTGGAGGAGTAACATTTACTGGCTCATTAATGGCTTATGGAAAACTTCAAGGTTTACTTTCAATTTTTTTAAATATTTTATTTTTTATTAAGGCCTTCTTGCTAGTGCCCCAACATTGTTGCCTGCTCGAAATGTCATAAATTCTGCTCTTTTACTTGGAAATTTGGCAGCAATGGGTGTCTATTTAGGTACAAATGATTTGACTTTGGGTCTTTCAATGCTCGGAACAACTTCTCTACTTTCTTCTATTATGGGTGTTACATTGACAATGGCTATTGGAGGTTTTATAAAATTTTTCTAATTTTATTTTTTTAATTTTATAGTTTTAAATTTTAGGTGCTGATATGCCTGTTGTAATAACTGTACTTAATTCTTATAGTGGTTGGGCACTTTGTGCTGAAGGCTTAATGCTTAATAATAATTTATTGACAATTGTTGGTGCACTAATTGGAAGTTCTGGAGCAATTCTTTCGCATATTATGTGCAAAGTATTTTTAATTTATTTTATTTTTTAATCATTTTTAGGCAATGAATCGTTCTCTAATTAATGTTATCTTGGGAGGAGTTGGAACAAAATCACAAAAGTCAGGCCCTGCCCAACAAATTACTGGAACTGCTCAATTTACTGATGTTGATCAGGTTAAAATAAGCTTTAAAAATATTTGGAATATTTTTACCATTTAGGCAGCAGAAATGATAAAAGATGCAAAGAAAATTATTATAGTCCCTGGTTATGGACTTTGTGCAGGTTTTTTAATTTTTTTACACCTTTTAGTTTGCTTTTTAAAATTTAAGCACAAGCCCAATATCCTATTGCTGAATTGGCAAAAGTATTGGATTCGCGAGGAACTAAGATTCGTTTTGCTATTCATCCTGTAGCTGGCAGAATGCCTGGACAATTAAATGTTTTATTAGCCGAAGCTGGTGTCCCATATGACATTGTCGAAGAAATGGATGAAATTAATGATGACTTTTCTGATACTGATTTGGTTTTAGTTATTGGAGCAAATGATACTGTGAGTGTTTGAAACACATTAATTTTACAAAAAAATTTTTTAAAGGTAAATCGAGCAGCTGAAGAAGATCCAAGCTCTTCAATTGCTGGAATGCCTGTACTTAAAGTATGGAAAAGTAATCAAGTTATTGTAATGAAGAGAACGATGGGTGTTGGTTATGCAGCTGTGGATAATCCTATTTTCTTTGATCAAAATACACATATGCTGCTTGGTGATGCTAAAGCTGTTTGTGACAAATTACTTGCAAAAGTAAAGGAAGATTGAGTTTAATATAGGTTTCTTTGACATTTTTCTTGCCATTTTTAAAAATATTTTGTTCCTCATTTTTAGTTTTGCTCAATATTTGTGATTTTCTCATATTTTTCTAGGATTCTCTAATTTGTAGGAGCACAAGTTTTTATTTTTAAAAAATCTTTGAGGAAACCAAACAATCAAGACTCTTCTCCAAAACATGGTTTATTTGACCTTAATCTTCTCAAGTCTCAATTTTTTTAATTTTTTTTGCATTTCTCTTAAAATTGCTTTGTTGCCATGTTTTTATCATGTGTTTATCTTCTAAATACCTTCACATATATTTTTAGGTTTGTAATTTTTGTATTATTTTTTAATCTTTCCTGGACATTAAAATGCGTGTACTTATGTAATTAGTAACGACTTAATAAAAAAATTTTTTTTACACTTTTTTAAACTTAAAGTGGTGGGAAATACATATTTCAATAATTTTAATGTTTTTTTTCATTTTAAACATCTCTAGGAAGAAAACTAAAAAAATAATTGTGTGAAGAATTATTAGTCCTTAACATTAGTGGTACTTTTTCTTCTATTTTTCTTCTTTATTTCTATTTTCATTCTGACGACACACTAGGCCCTAATACTTTTTTTTGTCCTTTTTATTTACCTCAGATGTTGAGGAGGGGGGTTTTTTCTCCTCTTCCCTATCCTAGGATTCTCAATGTGCACCCTTTCCCTATATACACTCATGCATATACTATTGGCCCAACTCTTCTCCTCTTTTCCCAAGCTTTACCCACTAAATTTTTTCCTCCCTTTTTTCAAATACTTTATCGATCTATTCGTTGTCCAGATAGACTCATTCTCGACTGGCTGGACATTTTTTTGGGGAAAATGGGAAGGAAAAAGGAAGAAGATATTGCATCTCGAGAACTGGCCAAGTCATCCATCCTTCCTTTTCTTTCCCTTCCATGTCCATTATGCCAGTTCCCATCATTTTGTCTTTTTTTTATTGACGTCAGTCCATCTTTCTTCTCATTCTATTTTTATTTGGCCAAATTGTAAAGAGATAAATTGTAAAGAGATATAGACCAAACGAGCGATGTTTTTAGACCATAAATAGATAGAGCGCGATTATCGTAAATAATTACGTCAAAAAAACTTTGAAGAATGCCGTTTCTGGCGACATTATTAAAATAATATTAGGGCGAAGTCTACTCTTATACATACCCATTAATTAACACGATTCTTTTTTTACACTTTTCATCATTTATTTTCTTTGAGAAAATAATAACGCTACCCTTTTTTTGTTTTAAAGGCAGGATTTGTCAAATATTAACATTTTTACATTTATTTTCTTTTTCAATTTAACAATAAATGGACCGTAGCGATTTACAGAGAACGGGTAATAATTTTTTAAAAATTTCTAAAAGATTAAAAAATATTTTAGTCGAAAGTCTACGCCACCAATTACGTATCCAACGGGTACCAATTTCTAGATCTGGTGGTGAATTGAAGCAATATATTGAACAACACCAGCCTAATGACCCGCTTGTCAATCCAGTGGAGAAAGCGCGGTATTATTTAAAAATTTTCACCGTTAGAAAATTCCATGCAGGGGGCAAAACACCGTCCGGACCAGACCTGGGCGAAACTCAAAATTTTTTTCTGACGAAACGAAACGAAACAAAATTTTTTAAAAATCGTTTCGTTAACGAAACGAAACGAAACAACCAAAATCTTACGAAACGAAACGAAACAAAACGAAACATTTTAATATTCAAAAAATTTTCAAAACTGCATTTATTTCGCAATTATTCGACCTCAAATACTTTATTAGTCGCCTATGCCTTATAAATTAGAGCCCGGACGGAGGGCTCGGTCGATATTTTTTTGATAAATACCGAAAAATACCGAATATCGAAAAATATCGAAAAAATCAAAATTTTCTCGGTCGATATTTTTTCGATAATATCGAAAAATATATATCGAAAAATATCGAAAAAATATCGTATCGAGCCGGGCTCTATTATAAATGATTTAGTTATTGGTTTATTTACAACAATTGTGTCCCATAAGCCAGGCCCGTAGCAAGGAAAATTTTCGGGGAAGGGGGGGGGGGTCAATCATTTTCGAAGCCGAATTTTTGGCGACGCTTTTTTTCAAATAAGATTGAATATTTTTCAAGTAAAATTTTATTTTAAGCGCCGCAGACGAAAAATTTTAAAATTTTGAAAGGCCGTAGGCCAAAAAATTCACTAGCTTGCTCCATTGCCTACCCAAATTGTCTCCATATCTCCATTTCGAGAGGAAGGCGATATAAGCTAGTGCTTCGCCGGAAGTTCCGGTTCCAGTATTTCCGCAACTCGCAATCCGCAATTTTTAAATTATGATGCGAGTCCGGTAATAGAATTTGTCGTCGATTAAGTAATATGTATATGTGGATTAGGGAGTGGAGTATAAACGGATTTGTAGTATATAAGTAATTGCTATCTTCCTTTTTCAGCGCCGCAGGCGAAAATTTTGACAATTTGGGAAAGCCAAGAAGCCGAAATTCTTTTTTTTTCAGCGCCGCAGGCGAAAATTTTTTAAATTTTCAATAAAAGATGGTAAATTTTATAGATTTTGGCCTTAGTTTAGGCTTAAAAAATTGTTTCGTTTCGTTGAAAAATCACAGGTGTTTCGTAACGAAACGAAACGAAACAAATTTAAAAGTGTTTCGTAACGAAACGAGACGAAACAGTAAAAATCATACGAAACATACGAAACAACGAAACGAAACGAAACGTTTCGCCCACGTCTGGTCCGGACATTAGAATAAACTTTTACAGATAATAAATTCTATGCCGATATTTTGTTGTCTGAATCCTTAATTATGTCGGACGGTGTTTTGTCCTAGCACGGGAAATTCTAGACGCGCTCACAATTTTATTTAAAATTATAAAAACCTGTAAAACCTATTTTATTTTAGAAATCCATGGGCAGAAAAATCCAAATGTGAGGTTCTCTGATTGTTCAGAAATCAAAAAAGATGCTCTCTCGTTTTTTTCACGCTTTTCACCTGCCTCATTCTTAAACATTTTTATATATTTTACATTTTCTTAAATTGACCTTAAAATAAAAAGCTTAAATAAATTTTATTTCAAAACAAAAATATAAAGGTTCAGAAAAGAGATCGTAAGAGGTTTAAAAAATAAATTAAAGGCATTGAGGAATACTTAAAAAATACTCTTGTAAATTTGTAAAATCGAAAAAAGTTCCATCTCCACTTATAATTCGTCTATTATGCTGTAAAAGCTCCAAACGTGGCTGAGGCATTTTAAAGACAAACATAGGGCGAATAGCTTAAAATTGAAAAATAAAAAAATTTTATGATGACAGTTTGTCCCAAAAAAATAAAAAAATTTTGAGGTGACATTTTGTCCCAAAATCGAAGGAATTTTTTTGAGATGACAATTTATCCCAAAATCAGTTTGTCCCAAGATTTAAAAAATTTTTAAAAAATAAATCTTACATCCACTAATGAACACAAAACACAAGTTAAAAGAACAATTCCAATCTGCCAGTCAAGATGATTTTTTGTTGGCACGCCACAGCCTTGGATATTTACAGAATTGTTGAATGCCCTACTTCCCGGTAAGTATTGAATACACAAAGGATCTATTGGTTGAATGGCCCAAGCGCGGCCTTCTTGTGATTGACGGCAGCAGGAACGGGGAACTTTAATTTTTTGAGTTTAAAAAAAATTTAAAGAAAACCGTAAGAACGAGTTCCCCTCTCGGTATTCGTCAAATACCAAAAGGATTCAGAATATTCGCTAAAGTTGTAACCACCACAGCAATGATGCTAAAAAGTAAAATTTTATTATTAAAAAATCAGTTAAAATTTACATAAAATTGGACAGAATCCATAACTGGCAATACCCAGCGGTCTCTATTGTACCTTCAAAAAAATTTTTTTAATTCAAAAAAATAAAAGCTAACCGATTTTTAGAAATATTGGACAAATAATTGCTCATATTTTCATCAGAAAACTAAAAAAGTGAAGTCATTAATGAAAAATTAAAAATTGCCGTAAATATCCCAGAAGCCCCGGGCGTTTATTTTTCATTCGTCCCATTGAGTGGACTTGTAATAGAGCATGGGCCACTATTAGAGTTGGGCTTCTATTAGAATATATACGATATAATAAACCTTTGTTTGATGTAAAATGCACAAAATGATAACGCCAAGTTTTGCAAGCAGTGCAATCAATAGAAGGAGAATAAACTAAAATTTTAGTAATTCAAAAAAATATTTTTCCAAAAAAAACAGACCGATCCAAGCAAAAATCTCTCCAATTTTACAGCACCAACACACCCTATCGACCCCACAAAAAGCATCAACAAAGCAGTTCCCGCCATTAAATAAATTCCAAATTTGAGCAAAGGAGCATTCTCCGAAAAGTGTAGCAATTCCAACTGAAAATTCTGTGCTGGATCAAGCAATAACCAAAGCGAAATTGAAAGAAGTACAAAACCGCTAGCCTGTGAGTAAATTAAAGTTAATAGATATGGCTCTAGTTTAGAATATGCGTCCTATGAGCGTTTAAGCGGCCCATGAGGGATTGGGCTGAAAGTAGTTTGTACGCCAACATATACTCTGATGGACGCATCGCTTGATACGACGCATAAAGCTTAAGGACGCTTGTTCTAAATTAGAGCCAATTTTATTTTTTAAATTTACCCATAGAAGAAAATTTGAAAAATACAAAGAAGATTGTAAACAACTTGAAACTGGGGGAACAACACGCATTCTTCTTTTTGATAAACTTTTTTGGTTAACAAACGGAAAAATTAATTTCTGAAAAAAAAGAATTAAAAAATTAATAAAGAAAAACAAACTGTGAATAAATGATTGAAAGAGTGTAGTAGAATGAGATAAAAGGTCTCTCTCCTCCCTATCATTCAAATATGTAGCGCTTTGCAAAAAATAAATGTCGGTCGCCCCATTTGAACTGTCCAGTCATCCCTAGTCGTTTGTATACATATTTTTGTATTTGTGTTGAGCAAAGCAGAAAGGGGTCAACCAACAAAATGAAATCATTTAGAGGGTTGAAAGGCACAAAGCAAGCCGAATGAGCTTAAAAATAAAATATAAAAATCAATGAGGACGGGCTTTTTTGGTACAGACGGACGAAACTCGGACTATTAGGAATGAAAATAAGGAAAAAATATTTAAAAATTAATCCTTCCTTTATCATCACTGATTTGAATATGCCACTGGCAAATTTAATGGAACTGAACAAGGAAGAAAATGCTGACCATTATGTCATGTAAAGGGAGAAAAAAAGTGATGAAAAAAACGATTACCGACCTCCTTTCATATAGTGACGAACTTTGACTTGCCAAAAATGACGTAAATCTTTTTCCAGTTAACTGTGCTAATTGACGTCCATGTTGTTATTTCTGACGTTGATTGTCTTCTAAAGCTTCTTGTAAATTTTTAAAGTGAAAGATGAAGAAATTTATTCAATTTTTAAATAATATATTTTTTAAAAATCACTCCAAAATTTCCAATTCAAATTCTAATTGAGTCCTCCACCATTATGTCCACCAAGGTAATCATCTAAATTTAAACATTTGTGAAATTTTTAAAATTAACTAAAAAATCTAAATTTAAAATTATCACGTATAATTACTATTAGTGTGCGGCAAAATCGCATTTACGGGATCCCGTAACGGGATTTTTTTCAAAATTTTTTACGGACCGGATCCCGCGGGATTAATCACGTAAATCCCGCTCGTCGCTTAAAAATCGAGATTTCGGGGCGGGATCCCGTAAAATCCCGTACGGGATCCTGTCCCGTGCCGCACACTAATTACTATAGACAATCTAAGCAAAATAAACATATAAATTCACCATCGTCCAAATGAACATCACCAACACCATTGTCTCCCTCGTTATTAACAGGAGCACGCACAACAGGAGCTTAATTCGCCACACTACGATTAAGCTGCAAAGCATCAAAACGGTCAGACAGACTTTTAACACGACGGCGTGTCTAAAATTTTTAATTTAATCTTAATTAAAACTGAAAATTGATTTCTAAAAGTTAATATTGTTAGCGACGAAACTATAGAAGTTTATTAAAGGAATTTAACGTATACGTTTTATACGGCGTTTAATCTTGTTCAAATCATCCCTGAACCCCAATTGTCGAACACGCTGTTTCACATCATCAATTTATTGGTCAAGTCGGTTTGAAGTTTCTTCATTTCTTCCTTCATTTCTCCAAGCAATTCTTTAATTGTAGGTTCTTCTTCTACCATTTTCTACCAATACTCTTGCATTGTTCGTTCCTGCTCCAACCAATCCTAAGGCAAAGATTGCGTTTCTTGCAGTTTCTGCATCAGAATCGTGGCTATACTTGCTGAGTGTTTCAATAACAGTTAATTGAGGATTTGATGGACTCAAAAGAGCAAGAGCTAAAGGAACGGCACGTCTAATAACTGGCTCTCCATAGCGATACTAAAAAAAGTTTTTGTAAAAACAAAAAAATATATTTAAATAACCAAGTGTCCAAACTGTCGGAGGCACATTTGTGATCCAATATCTTCACCCATAGCAACAAGCGCAATGCCAAGAACAGCTACTGCTTGACTTAAACATTCTGGAGCCTCTTCATACTTTGTTTGCGATTTTGTGGAGGTAGCAGCTTCCCCTTCCTCAGCATCTCCATTGGCAGAATTAGTTGGTACAGAGGCAGCAGGTGCTGTAATATCAGGCAATGGAGCACCAGAAGGAACTTTGGTTTTTGACTAGAAAGGAAAAGGACGTTAAGAAGTAATGTTAAACTTTAAAAAATCCAAAACCTCCTCTTTCTGCGCTTCCTTCTCGTAATGTTCAGAACAAATATGCAACATCTCTTGCACTTTCAAAACATTTCCAGTTCCAGCATAAGCACAAACATCTACCAATGTTGAAGCAATTTTTCCAAATGGGTCGGAAAGTGCACGAAGTGGCTCAAGTATTGTTTCATCGCATTCATTTTGTCTTCCTAAAGAATAGAAAAATCATTTAGTAGAAAATCAAAAAGCAACCCAAAAATATAAGCCCAATTCCAAGAGCCACCAAACGCATATTAACATCATTCAAATCAACACCGCTCATTAAATAAGTAAGCAATTCACAAACAGTTTCACTGTTTTCTCGTCCTGATCCAATAAGAATGAAACCGAGAGACAATGCTGCAAGTCCTTTGACCTCAGCTTGATTAGCCAAAATTTGATCATCCGCGATAACCTTTAAAAAAATAGAAATTTTTTCAGGAAATTAAAAAAAACCTTTCTTAAACTTTGCACAACACTTTCTTCGTTGTCAATAACTGTTTGGCGTTTACTATTTGCATAGGCTAATCCCAGACCAAATATTGACGCAACGCGTAAAGGTAAGTGTTCATTGAATAGAAAATCCTGCAAGATGGCATAGGCAGGATCGACTTCAGGATCCTGGACGCCTGAAAAGACGATACCAGTGGCAAATAGAGCGCCGGCCTTAAAAAATTAAAGAATACAAAGAAGTAAATTTAATCATCTGTCAATAACCTTCACATAAATATCCTTTGATTGTGTATGAATTTCAAAGTTGTTGAGTGAATCCACATTCCAATGATGAATCAAACCAAACGTAGCAGCAGTAGAAAAAGCGGCTTCAATTAAATTTTTTAATTTTACAAGTTCCAAACAAACCAACCCCATTCTTTGTGTTTTGCTAACCAATCACTGGTGCTCTTCTCATCTTTGAAAAACGCGTCAGTTCCAAATCCAGCGTTAACAAAACCATTAACAAAGGAAGAAGCCAAATTTTGCAGGGTCATATTTTTAACTTGTTGAGTAGCAAATGGACGATTTGGCTCCAAATAAGTTTTGTAAACCTCATCTGGAGTTTTTGGTGTCATCAAATCCAATTCGCGAGCAAAGGCAAGAAAGTGTTTGTTCAAATAGAAATTCGCATTTAATTGAGAGAGAAGCTGATCTTCGACTTCTAGAAAGATTTGTTGTCGTCCAAGCATCAAAGACATTTGCATTTTTATTGCTCTACAATTTAAAACAAGAAGATTAAAAATTGGTATGATGCTGTAATGCCAAACGCTGAAATACCAAACCTCCAAAAGAATGCGGATTGTTAACAACTTTACACGTGATAAAGCAACCTTCACCCTTGTTGGAACAACCTTTCATGTATTTGAGCTAGTTTTTTATTTTCCAGTTTGGTATTTCGGCATTTGGTATTACGACGCGCTCCTAATGTAAGAAATATAAGCATACCCATCAGTTGTTGACCCAAAAATCTTTTCAATAGCACTTGTATTATTGGTTCTCATTGCACAACGTAAAGCTTCAATACTCTTTCCAAAGTGCATATACAAATCCCTTGCCATATCAATCAAAGTAATGTTCTCTGGATCAGGAATGAAAGGAGCACAACTAAAAGACGTTAATTCATATAGAATTTTTAAAAATAAAAAACCTCAAAATATAAAGGCAAATTCGTTCATAGTCCAAATGTTCTAGTTTCTTGCCATTTCTTTCAGAAGATCAATCCTCTCAATTTCCATCAATATATCGCAAGCCTCAATCTCAGCATTGTGATTTAAATTATGAATCACAAGTTCTTTAATTTTTGGCAAAATTGTTTCTTCACGGTGCTTTTTGTCTTCTTGACTGTCGCTGTCATGCTTTTGACAATCTTCAACTAGATCCAAAGCTTTACGGCGAAATTCATAATCCGGATCTGGCTTAATCTCGCTAGCAGCAGCATCCTTAACGGGAGTATCAGCAACTCCAGCTGGTGGCATTTTTCAAAAGATTTGTTCTGTTAAAATTTTTTAGTATTAACGGGTAGAAAAGGATTTTTTAGTATTAACGGGTAAAAAAAGCTTAAATATGTCATCTTTTTTCAAATATTGCGCCAACTTTAATAGGTAAAATCATTTCGCCAATTTTCGACGGAGCGGGTCGGTTGAGAGTGGCCGATGAGCAACACCCGGATTTGATTGGCTATAACTTTTTTAAGGCTTGATCAAATCAAAATGAATCTTATATCAAACGAAAGCACTCGATTAGCCCAATCTTTTTTCCAGCTGGATGGATCAAGTCTGATCACCCATTAAAAAGTTACAGGTCGATAAGTGCAAGAAATCGTTGTTTTTCACACTTATTGAGTTGTAACTTTTTAATAGACTATCAGATTTAATGAATACAGTTGAGAAAAAGATAGCGCTTATCGAGAGCTTTCGAATGATATATTCATACGGATATGTTAAAGTCTAAAAAAGATAGCCGATCAAATTTGTCTGACACTCAACCGCCCGCGCTCAACTGGCCCGCTCCGAAATTAAAATTTAAACTAATTGAGTCTCAGACAAACCTCAAAAATGCATATCGTTTTGATTTTTGTATTTTAGAGGTTTTATGCCGTGTTTTTTTTAATTTTCATTTTATTTAAATTGTATTAATATCTTTTTGATATTTTGGGGTTGGGTCTCCATAAACGACTAATCAAAAAATTAAAAAAAATTTTTGTCAACACTTTTCGGCATCAAAAAATGTTTTCTGTCAACTGCAGAAAACATTCGACTGTCAGAAAATTAAATAATTTTGGTTTTAAAAAACAGCTAACGAATCTAAAAATTCAGCATAAACGAAAGAGATTTAGCAGAATTGAAAAAGAAATGGTTGGAACATTGATTTTTTGATCAAAATTTTGGGGTTTAAAAATGTGTTAAAAGATATTTTATATTTTCTAATTAGTTAAGTGAACAGTTTATATTAATTTATAGGACAAATAATTTTTAAAAAATTAAAGAAAATGGAAGAAAAAGAACCTACAATTAAAGAATTGCTTGAAGAAATGAAGGAAGAAATGAAGAAAGAAATGAAGGAAGAAATGAAGAAACTTCAAACCGACTTGACCAATAAAATTGATGATGTGAAACAGCGTGTTCGCCAATTGGGGTTCAGGGATGATTTGAACAAGATTAAACGCCGCATAAAACGCGTACGTTAAATTCCTTTAATAAACTTCTATAGTTTCGTCGCTAACAATATTAATTTTTAGAAATCAATTTTCAGTTTTAATTAAGATTAAATTAAAAATTTTAGACACGCCGTCGTGTTAAAAGTCTGTCTGACCGTTTTGATGCTTTGCAGCTTAATCGTAATGTGGCGAATCAAGCTCCTGTTGTGCGTGCTCCTGTCAATAACGAGGGAGACAATGGTGTTGTTGATGTTCATTTGGACGATGGTGAATTTATATGTTTATTTTGCTTAGATTGTCTATAGTAATTAGTGTGCGGCACGGGACAGGATCCCGTACGGGATTTTACGGGATCCCGTCCCGAAATCTCGATTTTTAAGCGACGAGCGGGATTTACGTGATTAATCCCGCGGGATCCGGTCCGTAAAAAATTTTGAAAAAAATCCCGTTACGGGATCCCGTAAATGCGATTTTGCCGCACACTAATATATTTAGTTAATTTTAAAAATTTCACAAATGTTTAAATTTAGATGATAACCTTGGTGGACATAATGGTGGAGGACTCAATTAGAATTTGAATTGGAAATTTAGGAGTGATTTTTAAAAAATATATTATTTAAAAATTGAATAAAAATTTCAAGCAAAACTTGTTTAGATACAAAAAACTGTTTTTTTGCTTTAAATACCTTTTAAAATGTTTTTAATATTCTAAACATTTTTGTTTTAATTTAAATGATATGAAAGGCAAAAATAATTCAAATATTGCCTCTTCTTGGCCAATTATTGTGAATGAAAATGCGCTTAATGAAGCTAGCATTTTGCCTCATTTATTGCACGAAGCTAATGAACAAGCACAACAGCAAGTAATTGAAACGATGGAAGAAAACGGTTTGCTTAAAATAAATGTTTTTAACCCTCTTAATATTTTTAGAGGATGTCTGCGATGAAGATCAGTTACAAAATATGATCGAGAATTACAGCAAACATGTAATTAAGCAGACACAAAATCAACAAATGGAACAGAATAACAGAAATTCTTTGAAGACTGCTGAAAGAAGTACTAGCCATTTGCAGAAAAAGTTTTGTTTTTTAAATTATTTTTAAGAAATTAAATTTATTAAGAATAACCGCACAACAACAACAAACGCCAATGAGCCATTCACATCCCTGTTTATTTTTGGATGGAACAAAATCGAATGAAGACAGTGGAAAAAGGTTTTTAATGTTTGTTGGTAGGATAGAAACCTTGAAAAACGTCGATTTATTTAAGAAAAATTTCTTTGAATTATCAGCTACGATGAATTTTATAGGTGTTGAATTTCTGACCTAATTTTCAATTTTTCTAGACCTGACAATCTTCCCCAACAAACTCCCAAAACAACAACAGAAGTTCCCTTCAAAAATAATTTGTATAAATCAGAAAGTGATCGAACAGAAAAAATATCGACTAATCAACAATTAGAAAATGAAAATAAATTTTTGAATGGAATACAGCAACAAAAGGATGATCAAAATTCTACAAATTTGATTCAACAAAAACAACAAATTGGTTTCTTTTTTAAATTTTATTTTTAAATTAAAAAAATATTTTTTAGAAAAATTACAACGTAAATGTAATCGTTTGGAACAATTAGAATCTTCATACAGAAAAATAGAAAAAGATTATGAAGAAATGATGGAATGTGAAGAATTAAGTTTAATAACCTTTTATAAATTAGAGCATCAATTGAGGTTATTAGACATTGAAAATGAACAATTAAAAATTGAAAATTTTGCTGAAAATGATCCAAAAATTGATGAATTTGGTCAATTGAAGATTTTGGAAGAAAAAATTGAAATTTTGGAAACTTCACTTTTAAAAAGTCAAGAAAAAGCAAAATTGGCAAAAGAAAGGACAACTTCAATAATTCATTCACAGCAACAATCAACTTCAAATAATTTAAATATTTTTGGTTCAATTTTGGCAGCCAGTCGTTTAATTGGCGGGGAAATACAAAAAGTTGGAAAAATGAAAGCTCAAGAATTTTTGCCTGTTGGGACAGAAGAATTATTTAATAAATTAAATAAAGAATTGGATAATTTATTAATTGGGACACCAGAAAAAGGGCAAAATGAAAATACTGAGAAAACAGCAACAACGTCTTCCAAGTTTGTTGATTTATTGGATATTCGACGATTTAATGTTTTTTCGAATGGTAAGAGAAAAAAGAATTTTTTGAAAATTAAAAAAAATTTTTCAAAGATTTTGATCAATGGTCAATGTCTGCAACTACTCGGGATCAAAACAAGGAAATGGTTGTTTTATATTTTTCTTTAATTATTGGGATGAATCCGTAATCCCAAAAAACTTTGAAATACCCATCGAATAACAGCGTCATTTCCACAGTTTGGATTTTGGCGGCTTTTAGAGGATGTTTTTTTCATTTCCACACTGAATATTATAGGCATTAATTGAGGAACTAATAGGGAATTAAACAAATTTATTTAAAAAAATTTTTGTTTGGCAATACTCTACTTTTGGTCCCTCATTTTTTCGATTCAGTCCCTCGCTTTTTCGAAATAGGAAAAGTCCAGGTATTGGATTTTGTGCAATCCGTGATACCCTTAGTCTAACCCACCAATAAATTTACTTGACAAAATTATATTTTGAAAGCTCTAGTCTCTACCAACAAACATGAGCGACGAAAATCGAGAACAATTGCTTTCGTTATTGGGCGATGAAGAGAGAGGATTTGATGAAAATAATTTTTGTGAAAGCAAAGGAGAAGTTCGAGTTTTGAGACAAAAAATTATGCAAAAAAGGAAAATAAAAAGTCAACCAAGGTTTTTTTTTTGTTTTTTTGAATTTTTAAAAATTAAATTAATTAGGTCTTTGTTGGAGAAAAGAGCAGCACACAATTTTAAGTTTGACTTGGCAGAAGAAGAAAAGGAAAAAATAAAAGAGCCGATAAGTGAAGAAAGGGAACAAAAAATAATGAAAAGTATTTTTTAATTAAATTTTTAAAATTAAATTATTTTTTAGTTTTAAATAAAATAATTAATAAGGAAGAGGAAGAAGAGGGGAATTATGGGAAGCAAGAAGAACTGAGAAATGATAAGGAGGAAGAAAATGTTGAATTGGAAGATGAAGAAATTGAAGAAAAATCAACTCAAATTGAAATTAATTTGATAAATTTAAATTCAAAAAAGGAAGAAAATAGTAAAAAATATATTTATGAAGAAAAAGTTTTTGATGAAGAAAATTATGGGGAAGAAGAAAATTCTGTGTTTGAATGGATAATTGAAGAGGATGATGGAGAGGTTTTTTTAAATTTTATTTAAAGTTTATCTAATAATAAGGACTTATCACGATTTCTTAATTTTGATTTTTAAATATTTCAAGTCTCTTCCACCTTCCCTTCAAGAACTCTCCTCCCAGCAGAGAATGCAATCAAAAAAAGTCTTTTTGGGGAAAAAGTCATTTTTAGTGTAGTGGGAAAATTTTTATATTCTTATTGGTAGAGGGCTTGAATGGTTAGAGGTTCGTATCCCATCGACGGAAAATAATTTTATTTTGCCCGAAAATTCAAAAAAAAAAATTTTTTTTAAATCGTTTTCCCTGCTCTCCTATAATTTTTTATTTAATTCTAGATTGGTGTAATTCCAAGTATAGAATTGTCTGAAATGTTGGGAGAAATTTCTATTCTTCCTCCTCTTCCTCAAGAACCTTATTTACAAGTTTCTTCAACATCAAGTACTTTATCTAGCACAAAATTAACAACAACAAGAACAACAACATTTTCTCAATCAAATAATTTTTATAAAATTATTAATAAAATTTCAAATTCAAAATTTTGGATTTTATTAAAAATTCCTTACAAAATTAATTATTTTGATTATTGCCAACATTTTTTAATTGTTTGTTCAAAAAATAGAAGGCCTTATTTTATGATGATTTCAAGTTTGAAAGCTTTACAAGGCAAAAGATGTTGTTCACCACAATGGAATAAATTGGGAATATATGCTGATGGAGTTTCTATAAATGGTAAGAGGGGGAATGGGGGGGGGGGAGGAGGAGAGAGGAGAGGGGGGGGGGTTTAGTCAGAAAATCGTAATTTGAAAATCAGAATTTTAAGAAAATCAGAATATAAAATCAGAATTATTTTTTAGATGATGGCACCCGTTTATGGCGTATTTGGAACGGCGTCGGGTTTTCACCAAATTCACAACTCGATTTAATTGGACCTTCTTCAACATTTTCTAAAAATTCTCAATGGTATCAAATGACAAGTAGAAATGAGGGATGTCTTTTACAAGTTGAATTAACGAGTAAACATGCTTGGTATTTAACTGATAGAGGAGTAAGAATTTTTTAAAAATTCTAAAATTTTCTAAAAAAATTATTTTTAAGGTTTTTGTCCAAATGTTTTTACCAGCCTCAGGAATGGGTTATTGGTATAGAACACAAGACGATGATGAATTAGATGTTTTTGTTCAATTGACAGCGTCAGATGAAGCTGTCTGGGTATTAAATAATTTTGGAATGGTTGCTGCAAGAGTTGGGCTTAGAAGGTGCCCGATGGGTGTTGATTGGGCATAGTAAGATTAAAAAAAAATTTTTTATTTTTAAAAAATTTTTTTAAGCTTGGACAATCAACCAAAAAAATTTGTTTCAATCTCAATTTATAAAAGGATAGGATTTGGACTTGATAATCAAGGCGTTATTTGGTTAATTAATGGTGTGGGGCTTGAAAGTCCTTTTGGTGTTGATAATTGGTTTAATTGTTCTCCTTTACAGGTTTTAGAATTTTATAAAAATTTCTAAAAAATAATTTAGATTAATTCAATACCAAAAATGTCACCAATTAATGAATGGCGATTAAGTGTTGGATCAATTGGAATTTTTGTTAATGTTGGAACTGCTTTGATTTATTTGCCTGAACCTTTTATTGGTTTTTTCAATTTAAATTTTTTTAATTTTTTAAAAAATTCAGAAAGGGACGCTAGTGAGGAAATTCTACTTTCAAAAGCACGAGAAATGCCTGAACGCACACTTTCGGGAGGTTCAGCAACTTCTTGGTGTGAACTGGGTAAATAAAAAATAACTCAATCATTTTGTTTTATTTATAATTTTCCCTTGCCTTAATTTTTCACTTTTTTAATTCCAAGTTAATTTTATTTATAATTCTTGTAATAATCCTTAAAATCATTCCAAAATAGAAAAATATATAAGAATAGAATTTTATTTGAGCCTTTAAATAGTGGGTAATTAATGCATAGATTATTTGGTGGTACAATGTTAAGGCACGATTAAGAAAAGATTTTAAGTTTTGAGCTGATGGCCACAGAAAAGGGATAGGGGGACAGGGAACTTAAGTAAAAAGGTTATTAAGTAGCAATTGTGAAGTTTTCTAGAAAAATTATATAAATAATAAACCTCTTCCTAAAAATAAGTTTCTCATTTATCAATAAGATTTTGATTACCCAAAGAGCTCCTTCTAAAAACCAATTGTTTATGACCTGTCAAAGTATCAGAATCTCCTTCCTCTTCTTTAACTTCTACAACATTCACCGCTTTACCGTTTCTTTGTTGCTGTTGTTGTTGGATGTAAGCAGGCATAGGAGGAATTGGTGGAGGCTCTTGTCCAGGCTCTTCAATGCTTGCCATTTGATGCACTTAAAAATTTAATTTAGAAAAACCTGGAAAAATTTAAGTAAAGAAAACTTTGTCTTAATTGTTGGTGCCCCTGATATGGGGGTGGTGGTTGTGTTTCTCTACGTTGCTGTGCCGCTTCTTGATAGTTTGGAGGAGGTGGTGGAGTGGTTAATTCAGTGACAACATTTCCCTTTCGAGTTTCCACCGAATGGTCTCGCAGCAATCGACGGCAACCACCTTCACGTCGATTGGACACACCTTGAAAGGGGACAGCATAAAAAGATCAAAACTTTCAAGAAAAACCTCCGTTCCTCTCAATCCCAGCCATTAAATGAAATCCACCAGAAGAAACTCGATCTCCCGCCAATCTTCGCCTTGTTGCCTCTGGTAATTGCTCCAAATAAGCATTTAATTGACTAGCAGATGCATTAACCAAATAACGTCTGGAAAAGAATCATTTTTTACTAATCAGAAAAATCATTAAATATACTTTTTACTAGAAGAGCTAGTAGAAGAGGCACTTTGTCGATAAAGGGGAGTGCCTCCATTAGATGGTTGTTCTTCTGATCCAGGCGAAATATCAGCATGTGCAAGTGGCTGTTCAGAGGAAGAAGAGCGTGATTGACTTCGAATTTGTTGACGTTGTGGTGAAGGCAGATCTGCAGGCACACGATTCATTTGAAGATTACTAACAATAAGAGATACTTTAAAAACCCAAAAATATTTTTGAAAAACCTCGGCTTTTGTATATTTAATGTTGGTGGTCTTTCAATAATTCTATTGCGTTTTTCTGCCAATTTCCGCCCAAGTTCCTCCATTCGAGCCATCACATCTTGTGAAGCAATCCTCTCATCATAAAGTGTTGCACCGCGAGCACTAGTAGGCAATTCAGCTGTTGAGCGATGGAAAAATTTTGATCCTCGAATTGACGAAAATGGACTGTTATGTTCAGTCTAAAAATTCTTTAAAAAATTTAAAAAAAAATTTTTAAAAACCAATTCTGTTGGATAATAACCACCAATTCCACTTCCAGCGCCTCCAGAACTAGCTAAAGAACTTTGACTTCCCATAAAATGACGTAAATCTTTTTCCAGCATTCTCACTCGAACATCTAATGATCGACGTTCTTCTGCCCATTGCATTTGTATTCTCATTTTATCATCCAATAATTCTTGTATTCTTCTTTCTTTTTCTGCTTTTTCAATTTCCCAACGTATTGTCATTGCTTCAATTTCTGTTCCTCCACCACAATTTTTTAAATTCTTTTGTTGTTGCTCATTTACGCCCCCAAATCTTCTTTGTATTTGAAGTAAAGAAGTTTCTAATTGTGAAATCCTTTCCTCTTTTTGATTCAATTCCTTTTTTAATTTTAACATTTCGTCTGTTGCTTCAGGTGTATTATTATTAGCACAACCAGCAGCAGCCGTTATTGCACCTCCTTTACGTCCAAGACTTCCTATAGCCTGTGAATTATTTTCTTTGGCTAATTGAAGACGTAATTGGGTCAATTCCATTTCTAATTGTGCTACTTGACGTCCATGTTGTTCTTTTTGACGTTGTTTGTCTTCTAATGCTTCTTGTAAAATTCTTAAAGAGAAAAAAGGAGGAAATCAAGACAAGGGGGAAGGAAGATGCCAAAACGTGAACGAAAAAATTTCTTCCTAGAGGAAAATTGGGAAAACACGGCAAACGGAAAAGGAAAAAAATTTCGATTTTGAAAATTTTTAAAAATTTCTGGTGGTGTTTCCTGAAGAGAAACCTCCTCACCCCATTTCCAAATAAAAAATAAATCTATAAAATCATATAAAACCTTTGTAAATGAGAACATTTATCAACAACAGCAGCAGCATCAATCGCTGCACGTTCCTTAGCTGCCAATCTTTCCTGTGCATTAGCTAAAGCCTTCTCCAAAACTTCAATGTGTGTTCTTTGTTCCTCCAAAGTAGCGCTTTGTGCATCCAATTCCAAACGTTGTCTTTCTTGTATAACCAACAATTCATTATTTTTTGGAATTAATTCATTCAATAAAAAATGTATTTGTTGGTCATTATTAACTTCCCCAGTCTTTTGTTGTACTCCAAAGATTGCCCCAATATTTGCATTTTGTGAACGTAATTGCTCGTTTTCAGCATCCAAAACACGCAATTGATGTTCTAATTTTTGTATTGCTATTTTACTCAATTCTTCACGTCTTTCTTGTTGACAAAGCATTTGCTCATAATCTTTTTCTATTTTTCTGTAGGAAGATTCTAATTGTTCCAAACGATTACATTTACGTTGTAATTTTTCTAAAAAATTTTTTAAATTTAAAAATAAAATTTAAAAAAGAAACCAATTTGTTGTTTTTGTTGAATCAAATTTGTAGAATTTTGATCATCCTTTTGTTGCTGTATTCCATTCAAAAATTTATTTTCATTTTCTAATTGTTGATTAGTCGATATTTTTTCTGTTCGATCACTTTCTGATTTATACAAATTATTTTTGAAGGGAACTTCTGTTGTTGTTTTGGGAGTTTGTTGGGGAAGATTGTCAGGTCTAGAAAAATTGAAAATTAGGTAAAGAATTCAAACACCCTAAAATTCATCGTAGTTGATAATTCAAAAATTTTCCTTAAATAAAGACCTCGACGTTTTTCAAGGTCTCTATCCCACTAACAAAAATTATTAAAAACCTCTTTCCACTGTCTTCATTCGATTTTGTTCCATCCAAAAATAAACAAGGATGTGAATGGCTAATTGGCGTTTGTTGTTGTTGTGTAGTTATTCTTAATAAATTTAATATATTAAAAATAATTTAAAAAACAAAACTTTTTCTGCAAGTGGCTAGTACTTCTTTCAGCGGTTTTCGAAGAATTTTTGTTAGTTTGTTCCATCTGCTGATTTTGTGTCTGCTTAATTACATGTTTGCTATAATTCTCAATCATATTTTGTAACTGATCTTCATCACAGACTTCCTCTGAAAACATTAAAATATTTAGAAACATTTATTTTAAGCAAACCGTTTTCTTCCATCGTTTCAATTACTTGCTGTTGTGCTTGTTCATTAGCTTCGTGCAATAGATGAGGCAAAATGCTAGCTTCATTGAGCGCATTTTCATTAACAATAATTGGCCAAGAAGATGCAATATTTGAATTATTTTTGCCTTTCATATCATTTAAATTAAGAACAAAAATGTTTAAAAGATTAAAAACATTTTAAAAGGTATTTAAAGCAAAAAATAATTTTTTGGATCTAAATAAACAAGCTTTCTTTAAATAATTTTATTGAATTTTTAAATAATATATTTTTTAAAAATCACACCAAAATTCTCAATTAAAATTCTAATTATCCCCTCCTCCATTGTGTCCATCAACAGGAGGTCGATTCTCCTCATCACGATTAAGCTCCAAAGCTTGAACACGCTCAGAAAGACGGTGTACACTGTGTCTAAGAGTCTTCAAATCAGCTCCAAATTCCAAGCGACGTACAGAGCTTTTAATTGCGTCGACGTCAGTTCGAATTTGTGTAACGTCGGTTTTAACTGCCACCAACAAATTATAAACGTCCTCAATAGTGCGTGGACGGTCTGACATTTTCTTAATTTTAAATTTTTTGTGAAAAGAACCCCAATACGTGAAGAAATCAAGGCATTCAAAACCTTTAAAATACAAAAGCAAAAAATACTTTAAAAAACTTTTATTTACTACGGCACAAGTAAAACTACTCGTATCATAATTAAATATTAATGACTGAAACAATTTGACTAAAATTTATTAAATCAAGCAAAAATTATTTATTTCCTATAATTCAATCTCGACTCAACATCTATTCAATTGTCTTCAGACGAAGAGTATTTGTTGCACCAGAACCTTTAAAAATTAAAAAAATTTAAAAATGATTTTTATAAAAAAACCTGTACGCCACCCAGTAATCACCACAACAATATCTCCAGTATGGATAAAACCACGTGCTTTTCCTTCATCAATCCCCACTTCAATACGTTTCTCAAGATCAGTCGTCCAATCGGGTTCTCGTTCCATTTTAGGATAATGAAGAGGAAATACTCCTTGATATAAATGTAATTGCCGGGCAACTTGTGCATCACGAGAAACAGCAACAATTGGAACTGGCGGCTTATAACGAGAACAGTCAATTGCTGATTTGCCAGTTGTCGTCATAACTACAATAGCACTAGCACGACACGAAATAGCCGCAGAGGTGGCAGCAATTGCTATTGTTTGTGTTTTGTCAGTTGGCTTTTTGGTATCTTTACAAATTTCTTGAAAGAATTTTGCATGGAAAAAGGCCGATTCTGCCTCTTTGCAAATCTTTAAAAAAATAATTTGAATAAAATACTAAACAAAAACAAATTACATTATGCATAGTGATGAGAGTTTCAACTGGATATTCTCCTTTAGCAGTCTCACCAGAAAGCATAACACAATCAGCGCCATCCAAAACAGCATTTGCAACATCACTTCCCTCAGCGCCTTTAAAATACAAAATAAATTCAATAAATTTATAAAAATTATTTACGCGTTGGACGAGGCTTCGAAACCTTAAATTTGAATATTTATTCAACAAAGTATTACAAAAATTTCTTACCATGGATTCAAGCATTTGCGTTGCACAAATGACAGGTTTTCCAGCAATATTACATTTTGAGATGAGCATCTTCTGTGCAATAAATACTTTTTCAGCAGGAATTTCAATTCCCAAATCTCCACGAGCAA